ACGCAACCATCGGTTCCGCCCTATGGGGCAACGCGGTAGCTGCCCTGAGAACCGTCTACCGCTCGTGAAGTCATGCCGAGCTCGTCAGCGCCGAAAGGCAGCCCAGGCGATGACAATTCCGTTCATGTCAGTCTGATACCTCTATACGCGTGGATAGCATTGTGCATGCGAGGTTCTTCCTACCAGCATGGATCTTCCTACCGCACACCGGGTCTTCGATAGATCCGCGTAAAGAACTTGTTTCCCCCGGTGAGTTGCAGTCAATGCCGGATTCCGACCGTTAATCGGATCGCATACGCATGCGATGTCGTTCCTGCCCGTGGGTATGGGAGCAGTTAGCTTTGATGCCACCTGTAGCAGGTATATATTGTCCACTTACAGCTTGCAGGTGAGTGCCATCCTCCGCGCGGGTGGCTCGCCCCAAAACACGTCCTGTAGCCCAGTCGCAAGCGAGGTCTTGGTCATAGTAGTCATGCGGGCGATCCTAACTCCTCTCACATTCTATCTGATCGCGTGCTCTCTTGGTCTAGGAGCCGCCGCGGAATCCGTCGCTGCGGTTGCATACACGCCGAGTGTGCAGGCCTGCCCCCCTCGTACCTCCCTCGTCCGCCAGACCGGTTCCAGTGCGCAGTCGCTTAGTGCGGGCGAAGCTGCATATGTATCGGGACGACAGCAAGTCGCCCTAAATGCTTGGAAGGGCTACCTCGCAAACGTCCAGGCCTATCTCAATACCTCGCAGTCGAATGCTTCGCTCCCACAATATGTCGACGACATCCTCTCAGGGTTGTTTGGAGTGGGGCCGCAGCCCAGGCTCGGGATCGCGACGAGCGGCGGCGGATATCGATCGGCCATCTTCGGCGCCGGGATCCTGAATGCGCTCGACGGCCGCAACCAGACGTCCGTTGAGGCGGGTACAGGAGGCGTCCTGCAGGCCGCGACGTACCTGTCAGGCTTGTCCGGCGGGTCCTGGCTCGTGTCCTCGCTTGCACAAGCGGACTTCCCCATGCTCCCGGAGCTCATCTTTGGGTCCTCGCCCTCCCAAACGAACGACGGTAACGCGAAGTTCGGCGGGTGGCTCGCGGACATGGACCTGCTCACCCCAGGGGGTGCGAACATCATCCGTGACGCGGAGTACCTTGTGGACATCGTCGACGAGGTATCCGGCAAGTTCTCCGCCGGCTTTCCGGTGACGGTGACGGACGTATGGGCGCGCGCGCTGTCCGGACACTTCGCGAACGGGACGACTGCGGCAAACTTTTTCGACGACAATCTCCCACATGGGGCTGGGATCACCTTCTCGTCGATCGTTTACGTGTGGGTACTAATTGTGCTGACTCTTGTTCCCATGCTCTGCGAAGAGCATGGAGGTGGTTCTCCGATGACCGCAGGCTCATGGACGTGTTTGTCTAGGTCGTCATTCGTGAATCACGAACAACCCTTCCCCATCGTGGTCGCCGACTCGCTCGTCAGCAGGACAAATGGCTCGGCTGTGACTGAGGATGGCGACCTGGTGCCCTTGACAAACCCCATCTACGAATTCAACCCATGTGAGTGCACACGGCTACGACGTGCTCCTTGCGCACGGGCTCACCATCCCTGCTTCAGTCGAGATGGGGACATATGATCCCCAGTTGGGAGCGTTCACTCCCATGCGCTTCCTTGGCTCGCCGCCGACGAACAGAAGCACGTGTGTGACTGGGTTTGACCAGCTTGCCTACATAGCAGGTACCTCTTCGAATGTGTTCAATGGACCTAATGTCACAGTGAGTTGTTTCCCATCAGACCGTTCAAACGCTATGCTGACTTCATGATGAAATGGAAGTCGGCGGTCCTTAGCATCATCGACAAGATCGTCAATTTTCTCGAGGAGACGTTCACTCAAACGGACGTCCGCCTCGACTCCGCGGCGGTCCCAAATGCCTTCTTTGGCGTGTCTCCCGCTACGTTTCCCGACTCGGACCAGACAGTGCTAACTCTGGTCGATGGAGGGGAAGACGGCGAGACGGACCCATTGCAGCCACTGCTCGTTCTGGCCCGTGGTGTCGACACGATTATCGCCATTGATGCGGTGAGTAGCTTGGCTGCATCTGACATCGACATTATGTCCTGAAAGGCTCTTTCCCCAGCCTGCGGACACCTCAGACAACTTCGCTGCAGGCCTCGACCTCATCGTGAGTGCTTCCGGCGCCCTCAGACCTCTGATGTAGCATCTCACCTTCGTATGCGCTCGAAGTCGACGCAAGCGCGAGTCCAGCTCTTCCCAGGAACGTACTTCTTCCCGCCCGTGCCGAACACCACGGACGTCTACCTCTCCCAAAATCTAACGCGTCGCCCGACGTTCTTCGGATGCAACAGCTCTGCGGCAAGCGACGAGCCTTTCGTCATATACATCGCGAACGGCGGACCGCCCCTCGGGCAAGCCCCGGTGACCAACACGCCCACGTTCCAGCTGGAGTACTCGAACGGCGAACTCGGGGCGATGTTGGACCAGACGTTC